CTTGCCAGGTCCTGCAGGAAATTCATGGCAGTCCCTGCTTTCAAGGGCCTAAAGGCAAGCAGGCAGCAGATTAAACTGCCACCTATTTTCTCCATCCTCTCTGTCCCAAAATCTCTTGAACCGGCAAGAGCCAAGTTGACAGCTTCTCCCCAGGTGACATTACCTGATGCCATCTCCCTTGTGCACTGTGTGCGTGCATCTAGAAAGCAGCTTCTCTCAGGAAATACTTGAAGTTTATTTTGCATTCCTTAAACCTTATTGTGATGATAGCTTTGCTCCAGTCTTTAACAAAATTTGGCAGTGTCCACACTTTCAGATGCATATGTGCTGTGAAGGAAAGTGTGCTGATCCCAGAGGGTTTCTCGTCTCTCAGCAGGTACTCGTCATTGATTGCTTCCCCCTGCCATCCCTGACTGTGAATGGTTGTGTGACTGTGTCCTCTTGACACAGTGGATGCTGGCACAGCTTTGCTTCCTCTGCTCACCTTCTGAGCCCTGCTTCTTGACATCAGCTTCTCTCACTAGGGCTTTGAGTTTGTCTGCTCTCAAGACAAATAGAAATTTGTGGAAGGGAGTCGTGACTTCCTCTTCTGCTGTTTATTCTTAAGTCAAGGTTGTAGTTTGGAAGTTGGCTTTTAGCAACAGCTCCAGCCCATGCTGGAGCTCCAGTTCTGTCTCATTCCTGTCTGACTGCCCAGCACAAATATTTGTGCTGCCATGAAATGAGGGATGGGAACACGTTTGGTTATAGGGAAAGACAGATTGCTTTCTTCGGCCGCAGCACCAGCTGACATTTGCTAAAGGTTTTCTTTACACATAGGCAGCCTGTGTGTGCTCAGATAAATCAGCATGTGCAGCAGTCTGAGCCTGAGAGGATGTGCTCAGCTGCCCCTGGAGCTGCTGGGGAGGGGATCTGGAAATGGGAGTGCTGGCAGAAGGCAGAAGTGGAGTGCTGGCAGAGGGCAGAAGTGAAGAGCTGGCATCTGGGAGGGGTGGGGGTCATGCCTGCAGGAGTGAGGGAGCTGGTGGACTGGGAGCCCACAGCTGGCTTGGAGTATGCCAGCTATGGCCCTGGCAGCCTGGCAGGGGAAGAGTGGAGGAAGGAGGGTGCTGTACTCAGCTCAGACTGCGGGTAGAGCAGTGGCATCTGGGGATAGAGGTGGCAACCCACATCTATAGGGCAGTGTGGTGGCACTAAATGCAATGAGCAAGGTCAGAGAGGTGTAAGTTTAACCTGTTTCTTCTCCCGTGATGGCTTGTGGAGACGTTGGGTGCCTGTGTCTCCAATCCAAGCTTGCTGGTGTGATGTATTAATGAGATATTAATTAATCTGTGTGCTCCCCTCCATGCCTCACAGTGGGTTGTTATTCTCTAGTAAACATTTCCTTCAGGTTATAAGGCAAAAACTGAAGGTTGAAAGTTCAGCCCCATGGGATCAGGAGAGCAGATACAAAGGTTGGCCTTCCTGGAGAAAGCCTCGCTGTCTGATTTGTGTGGGAGATGTGTGGCAAGGCTGGGGAAAAAAATAGCACTACTTCACTGGTGGCTTAGGCTGTGAGGACCAGATTCCTCTCGAGCTGTCCAGGATTGCATTGTGGTGTGTGGCTGTTCTGTCGCTATCTGGAGCTGACTTTTGAGAGGTGAGAAATGGGAAAGGCAGGATTGAGGAGGCTCCTGGGCTTTTTATGTGTCAGCATGAGCTTCGGGCCATTCGCACTGCAGTGGTATGCGTGTGGCTCTGAAACTAATTTGCCTGATCATTTTAATAAATGTAAAAGGGATGTCCTGGTGTGCAAGTAATGGGGCATTAATCCATGCCTAGCTGTGTTAACAGCACTCTAGGAAGGAAATACTCTCATGCTGTTCTCACTCTCTTAATTACGGGATGTTCAATTTAGGATCCCCTTCCATGAAGGCTGCTCAGCCTCTTTGGCTTTCAGGTGATTCTCTGTTTCACCTACTACCAGTTTCCTCCCAGTTCCTCAGCTTCTTTTACCATGCAGGTTCCCAGTTCCAGCAGTGCCTTTGTCCTGAAGTTTAACCATTCAAAGACTTTCTGAGGCATCAGCACCTTTTTGCTGCTGTTGGCTTGTCTGCTACCCCAGTACAGGCCCTGATGGGAGATTTCCTAGGAAGATGCAAACCCTGCTCCCTGACACTTCTCCCACAGGAAGCCTTGGAGCTACACCCTGCTTGGCTGCAGATGCTTGCTTGCTTTTATGTGTGATTTTTGGCTCCTGAGAGCACTGTGTTCCTGGGAAGATATACTTAGGTCTTTATTTAATCTCTTTATTTTCTAGGTTAAATGTATAATGTTGTTCTGGATTTGTTTTTAAAGTGTTCTACAAAATTCCCAGCCCATTTTTCCCCCCTCTTAGACTGCAGAATGGTAGCAGTTATTTTCCTGCCCTGGGAGCAACTGAGGTCTGACTCAGCTCAGAAACTCCCTGGCCAGACCACTGGAGGCTTCATCATTCACCCTCTTTCAAGGGACTCAGGGAGTTCTGTAGATTACAACAAAGTGGTCAGAGCTTGGGGTGACTTAGGGTTTGTTTTGCAAATGATCATTCGTTGGAGCTCTGTTTAAACAAACAGAGCTCAAATAAACTTTCCACTTCATTGCATTAAAATCCCTTAATTCATTAAAATCCCCTGGCCACAGACATTCAGGCCTCTACTGTGCCAGGTGCTGTTTAAACAGTTATCAAGTGCTGGTGTCTGCTGTAAAATGATCACATTGTTCGCTTCCCGTCACCCATCCACAAGTTGAGTGGCTTTTGTTAGGGGAGATGATACTAGTCCTGGTATTTGCTGGCTGTAAAGCCAGCACCAAGGAAACCTGTAACTTTGCCCAGTTTAAAACCCAGGAAGGTTGTTTTTACCCTGTCTTGCTGTGCAGCTGCAGCAGGAGTATCTGTTCCCTGGTGGAAAGCAGCAGCAGTTTTCCAGCTGGATCAGACAGCTGCAGGAGGACTCTGTAGTTACTGGGCAGGTGGTGAGCTGAAGCCAAAAGTCAAAAGGAAAAAAGGCCAGGGAGAACTAAACTCAGCTGTCCCAAGTCCATTTTGGTGCAGAGGGACCCCATTGCCCTACTTGTGTCAGCAGGTAAGAAACAGCCCTGTATTTGTGCATCTGTCTCAGTCTCTCGCTCTTTTGACTGCCTGACTGTGGTGAATATTGGCAGCCTTGCTGTCTTTTCTTGCTTTTGCCCTTTTTGGTGGATGCCTGTCCTCCTGAATGCTCCTCTGCATGGAAGGGTACAGCAGAGGCAACAAGGGGGGCATTTTGCCAGAGCTTGGAGTAGGCTATCAGGGCCACTTGGTGCATGTATTTTGTCAGGCCTGTCTCAATAAACACAAGTTTATTGAGGGTGTAGACATTGTCAAGTGAGTTCTCATTATTCACAGCTTGTTTATGACAGAGTTACAGGTTTTCAGCTGCTGGTCTTCCTGTATTTTTATATTTTTGTCTTATTCTGGTTAATTTGATAAAAAATTAGATTAACCTAAACCAAGGTGGCTTGCATGTGCATATGCATATGAAAGCACATGTAATGAAGGGTAAGTGATTTTCACTTGGAAAGTGCAGACTTAGCTGATCTGGAGCTTTTTACGGTCTGCAGCTGCAGATCAGTTGAGATCAGGTAAACTGTCTGAAGACAGGTCACAGAAGGTATAACAGCATAGTGCAGTGGGTGAGGTTGGCATGCACTGTTTTGAGGAGAAGTGCCTTTCCTTAGGGAGCTCCGCGTGCTGTTCTCTCACAGCTCCAGTCGAATGTGGGGCTGCAGAAAAGGCAGTTTCAGTCTCATGTTGTCCAAGAGTGGGACTGTACAAATGGTTTCATGCTGTCCTATCCTTGGCATTTGATATAACAAGAAGGGGACCTAAATTCCTTCTCATACCTGTTTTTGCACCATCACTAGCTGTTCACACTTCCAGGGACCTTTTATTCTCAGGAATGCACTGAGAGCCAGAGGTATCTCCAGAGCAGAAGTGTCAGCCTGTAAGCCACTCTGTTGGATGTGAGATTCTTTGTGGCTTAGGAAATCTGCAATAGAAGAGCAAATTTCATTCCAGAGGCAAAGGGGAAAGGTACCTCCTTTGCTTCTGGCTCAACATCCAGGCGGCAGGTGAAAGGGAAGAGAGAGGAAGTTGGCTGAATACTGCTGAGACACCTGCAGAAAGCATAGGGCATCTGATTCCCAGGCTGGAGGTGAGGAGATGAAGGCATCTCCAGAAAGCTGAAAGTTGTGGCCACTTCTGAAATTTTCTCTGGTGTCCAGATTTCTTTGTGTGGTGACTTTTAACAGCTCTCATTAAACAGTAACAATTAAGAGTCTTAGAGAGAACTGGTTCCTGCAGTCTGGCACTGAGCTGAAAGGAGTGGTCCAAAGGGCAAAGTGGCATCAGTAGCTTGGGGAGGGAGAGGCACTGCTTAAAAGACAATTTTGGCACAAGGCTGAACACGGACTGTTTGTTGAAGCTCAGAAATAGGGGAAGGATAGTAACCTCTGGAAGAGCAGTTTTTTGAAGGCTGTCCTTTGGACACAGCATGTATGTGTTGAAGGGAAGTGCTAAAAGAGTCTTGTGATGACTCTTTACTATCTTGGGCTGGCTGAGTGGACATGCAGAGGGTTGGGGATGCATATGGTATGGTGTGAAATGCTCTCTGAAGTTTGAGAGAAGTGGCAGACACGGCTGTCCTGGCTGCTGGGCAGAGCTTGTGCCCTGCCTGGCTGCTCTCCTTCCTCACATGCTGCTAGAACCTGATGACCCTGGCAACTCTTCCCTCCATATGTCCTTGTATATTTATATTTACACACATACGTTTATAAGGCTCCCTCTGGAGCTCAGTCTCCTTTGAGGAGATCAGGTGCTCCCTTAAGTCACTTGTGCCTCAGCTGTCCTAACCTTACAGCCTACCTTCCAATTAGCCCCTGAGCTTTAAGAAGAGTGTGTCTCAACTTTGTGTTCTTGGTGTCTTTCTGTCCCTTCCCAGGAAGAAACTGAAGTGAGAAATAAGTGACTGAAAAAGAACGATTTGAAGGAACAGATTCATTTCTTAACAAGATCAAGTTTGAATTAAATGGCTGATAAACAGATCAGGTAACTTTTAATTTTTTTTTTTAAATTATGCTTTAGGTTTTTATTTAAAATCTTTCAAACTTATTTACATTTGGGATCCAGGAGGTTGGAGGAAATCACTTGACTCATCATCTCTTCTGGTCTTAAACAGTTCTGATTATTTCTCTTCTCCTTTCTTAATTTTGCTTTTTTTGAACCTTCTCTTATTTTCTGTCTCTGCCATGTTGTCACATCTCTGCTTTCTTCAGTTCTTTTTTCTCATTGCCTTTTTCTTTCTACCCTCTGCTTTCTACCCTGCATGAGTCTGCTCCTTTTTGTTTCTTCTTCCAAAGGTCACCCTGACCTGCTGACTTCAGCTGCTGGCATCAAGAGAGCAAAGCCAGGTCCTTGACCAGCCAAGGATGCAGTACTTGTAATGACAAAGTCTATGTAGCCTTGTGCTGCCTTGTGCCCTTACTCTACAGACAGTCAAGGCTTGAGTGATAGCAGGAACACGAAGCACCACTGATAATTACTGACACTTAGGTGAACATTGGAAACTTAATAGCACTGGTTCTGGCAAAGGCTGGATTTGAGTCTTCTGTGGGAATGAACTGGGATGTATTTCCTAGAAAGACACAGTTGTACCCTTTGCTTCCTAAGAGCTCTGTAAGGTGGATCTGCACAGTCCTCCATGTGGTTTTAACTTTTTGCTGCTTGTGAAGTTGCCCCAGCTAAGTGACTCCTACATGCTGTGGGATTCCTGTGTGGTTTTTCATGTTGCTTTTCTAACATTATCTTTTCCAGGGTACCAGTTCAGGACAGGTGGGGTGAGTGAATGAATGAAATTTGGTGACAGAGGGACAGGACTTGGCAGTGCCTGAATGCTGGAAGCAACAGAGCTGCCCCTTCTTAGCATTTGCCATGATTAGGATATCTTCCTGTACGTCTGTTGTCTGCAAATGTAAACAGTCCTGAGCTGTGCTGATAAAAATACAGTATTGTGGAGTGTTTGTGTGCCTAGATTTGGCCATCATCCGCTACCAAATTTGGAGAGCACTTGGAACTCTCCCAACACACTCATGAAGGGCATGCTGAGATTCACCTCCATGGAGCCTGACAGGTCTGTGTTGCTGATAACCTCAGCAAAAGCAAAAGGATCAGATGTCTGTGACTGTTTGAAGCTAGGTATTTTGAAGGAAGAGGAAACATGTCCTACAAGAGGAGATGTGTCCAAAAAGATGTGCTCTGGCTCCTCCAGTGTGCTCTTGGCAGTGTGAGCAGGGGCTTGCTGGCTACAGGGACTAGTTAAAAGGGCTGAGCAGGAGTAGTAGAAGAGGAGAACTGGGATACCTTTGTATCCCTTCTTGTATTAAACTGAGCAAATGGCTTCATTTGCACGCTGGCCTACGTTGTTGCCGTTTCACTAAGCCCTGCGCACGTAGGTAGTGAGAGGCAGTAGCTGTGCAGAAGCTAAATAGGACAGAGAGACCAGGCACAGTAGATTCTTATCCCTTGAGAGAGCAGAGAGTACTGATGTGTGAAGTGGGATGACTCAGTCACAGGGGAAAAAGCTTTTGATTCAGGTAGAATGGTTTTTGTCTCATGTTCTTCTCAGTGCCTCAAATCCCTCACCTCTCCTGCTTTGGTCATCTCTCCAGTCGATGGGACCACGTGTCTGCAGTGGTCACAGGCAGCCAAGCCAAGGAGATTTGTTTCTGTCACCCCTTAGTAGAACAAGATTGATAGCAAAAGACTAAAATCAACAGCAGTGGTTTGCTGCAAGGTGACATCAAGGGCACTGCATTTTCTGCAGCAGTGCATGTAGAACTTAATTGGTGTCTTGCTGGATACTGCCCTGTAGTCCATCCATACTAGTTTTCCCCTGCAGTGTTCATGGGGAAATTTGGTTGGGTAGATTCAATTTGGTTGGGATGGGAGTATTAAGCAAGAGTTTCTCTTCCACAGGAAGAGGCTGTCTGCAGCCTCAAATTTTTGGCTTGCCCAGGCACGTCAGAACATTCCCCTTTACTGCTGGGGTCTGGGCTGAATTTGGGGAATCTCATGCACTTAACAGTAGCAGCAGTCAGGACCTTTGTGTCTGTGTCTCAGCCCGACCTGATATAAGCCCTGTGATGATTTCACTATTGGAACAGGTTGAGAAAGACAAGTGTTTGCCTGTCCCAGGTGTTTCAGGGACACTTAGAGAAGCGATGACAGTGCTGAGGCTGGAAGGGGGCGCTGGTTGTGCTGCAGTCTGTGACCTGCCAACAGTGACTTCAGAGCTGAATTTGGGGAGGTTAAGGTGAATCTGTCTTCAGACACCTTCCTTCTCCATGGTGTCTCCATCTTGGCAGACTTTTATCTGGTCTCTAACCTCCTCCTTCAGTGTGACCAGGTTAAATAAGGAGAGCACAATGATGTGAAGCTTACTGTTTGAAATTTTCCCATGTCCTGAGAACAAGCTGAGTGTACGAGTTTGCAGGCAAATCTATTCCATTCTCAGACTGTGGCACAAAGATCCCTGAGGCAAGAGTCTGGAGCTGTTGAGGTCTGAAAGCCCAGTTCTGCACTGAGCTTGTGCACTGATTTAGGCCTGCCTTTCTGAAGTACCATGCTGATTTAATCTCCGTCAGCACTGTCTAGTTTGGAGCTGTAGGCTGAGCTCAGATCTGTCTGTCTGTCCTTGGCACCTCTTCTTCCAGCTGTGCCAGTCATGGGGCTGTGTGTTATATCAGGCAGATGTTGAGAAGGAAGGAGTTTTGGGTGCAGGACAGCAAAGGCTGAAAGGAGTGTGTCAAGGTGTGTCACTATGTCAGTCCTGAGATGTCAAGATCATACTTAGCATTTGTGGACAAAGTCTTTTATATTTTTTCCATCCCTCATTTGTCTGCTTCCCTCAGGAGCCCTTCAAGTTGAAACTTTGAATCTCCATATCCTGCCTTTCCCTCAGGCATGGCTGCTTATTGATCCTCTCTGCAATTTCCTCTTGATGCAGAGTGCTCTGAAGTGCTGTTGGGGGGAAGATGTTTGCAGGGCTTCACCCCACCATGCCTCAGCCAGCCTCAGCACTGCTGGTTCCCGATGCAGTCTGTTCCCCCATCCAGAGCAGCAAGTCACTGTCAGTGAAAGGCAGTGTGCCGGTTCCCTCGGTAGGAGGATAGGTCTTGCAGGCTCACCCAGCTGCAGTCTAGGACTGCTGTCAGCCACCAGTTTAGTATCTGACACATCCTGTGTTCAGGGAGCCATATCCTGTGCTTTATTGGAGGGAGCTGTCTCAAACAGGCTTTCTTTGTCTCTGTGCGCAGTGGTTTATTGAGCATGTAAGTGCAGGACATTTTTCTTAATTGAATTTGCTGGGAACCGATGTTTAGCTGATGTGGCTTTCACTCAGTGCCACTTGCAAGAATTCTCTGTGGGAACACAAAGGAAAGTGGAAGAAGCCCCGTGCTGCGGAAGCACGTGCAGCGAGCCAGGTTTTGATTTCCCCCAGAGGTATGAGCTCATGTCTCCGCATCTGCGGCCGTGCGGGCTGCCGGCCCGGTGGTTTCGCCAGGCTGCTGCTTTGTGTGTGTTCCCCTGGCCCTGGGCGGTGGGTCTGGAAGCAGTTTCCCGTGGCTGCAGCCATCTGCTCTGTGGCTGCCAGCTGGGTGCTTCTGCTGGGCCCATTCCCACATGATGGTAGCAGCTGATGTGTCACGAACCTCTCATTAGCTGCAGATCTGATTGTGGTGCAGGAAAGCGTTTGTCAGTAAACCTGCTGGCTCGGATGCCATCGGGCCCTAACTGAAGTCTATCCACGTGGTACATGGTCCAGCACTCAGTCTTTTCTCCTCTAGGCACAGCAGAAATCCCCGGGTCCTGGGCAACAGAATTTTTCCTGCTCCTAGTAATGTGTGGGTTAGGTGTTTGGCTCCACTCCACTCATCAGTGGTTTGTCCTGATGGTATGTGCTGCTTTCTCTGTCTCCCCATATACACAGCAGGAACCAAGCTTTGCTTTGTAGAAGAGCTTCCTTTGTGCTGGGGGGCACAGCCTTGTCTCACAGCGATGCATTAACTCTGCTCATGCAAAAGAGCTCTTTCTTCTTTCCCTTCTCTTTTATTACCCAATGCTAAGACATCTGTTTCTCTCATCCCCTTACAGTTTACCTGCCAAGCTGATCAATGGAGGGATAGCTGGGCTGATCGGGGTCACCTGTGTATTTCCCATTGACCTGGCAAAAACTCGCCTGCAGAACCAGCAGAATGGCCAACGGATGTACACCAGCCTGTGAGTACTGCCCACACGGGCACCATCCCTCTGGGCTTTCCACAGGGAGTCCTTCCACTTTGATACCTCTTTCAGGTGAGCTCAGCATCTCTAGGAACTGGGCTATCCTCAGGAAAGCCCGGGACAGTCTGGAGCCAAGCTGTGCTAGAGCAGATAAATAGAGCAGCTGTTGAGGCTGCTGAGCCAAGCAGAGGAGTTCTCTGCAGAGGCCACATCTGTTTGCATCCCTTGCTTGGGAGCAGTGCGTTCACTGTTGCCAGGGCTCAGAACCAAAGCACAAGGAATCCTGATGACCTGATCCCAAACACAAGTCTCCTGAGCTAGTCAGGTGCCTGAGGGAATTTCTGCCTCTGCTCTGTTTCCATTTCTGATATTGGAGATCCTTCCTTTACTGTATCAGTTTTTAAAAGAGGAAGGAGTCACTCATTCCCAGTCTAGAGCATCGTATGTGGACCTTTTGAAGTATCACAGGTTGATATATGCTGTAGTTACACCATCAGTCCTGTGTCCAGAAAAGCCCCAGGTACTGCAGGTTGTAGGAAAAGAAGGTGTGAGTGTATCCAGCCCACCAAATTCACCTGGAGTTTGTGTTGGATGCTTAGGGCTGTGTATCTGCTTTGGGAATGTGTACCACACTCAGCACAAGATGCTTTATCCTAGGAACCAGAGACAGGCCTTAGTTTTCCAAAAGAATTCATGTTATTTAGGGGGAAAAGGGACTGGGACTGGTGAGGTATGTCCTGTCCTCCTACTGCTTTGGTTAGAACAAGTGTAACCTGATTCCTGCTCCTCCACACCATCTTTCCCTCTTTCCTGCCCAGAAAAATTTGAGGCAGAGGGGGAATAGGAAGGAAATTCTTTCTGATGTCTTCAGTCTCTGTGCCTTCTTGCTCTAGCTGATGACATGAGCTCAGGCTGCAGGCTCTGGTGCTTCCCATGACAGTTCCCATGCACTCTGCTCCTTGCACTGTCAGTGTGCCCTGGTTTGTCGGCAGGATGTGACCGCCCATTTTGCTTTGCCTCCCCTTTTGTTGTGTCCTGTTCCTGCAGTAGATTGCATCACCTCCCTGAGGATCACTTATCCTCCTGACCTGACATGTGACAGCAACAGGAGTTTGGGCAGGTTGAAGAACTTGTAGGTATCCCTTGGGACTGCATGCCAGGATATTTCATGTCTGGAAGAGAGCTCTGTAGGAGAGAGGCTTTTGACCTCCAGCAGTCAAGTCCATAGCCAGGAATTTCTGTAAGATGAGGGGCTGTTAAGGAATACATAAGATTTTCCTTGTGTACTTGAACTGGCTGCTTCTGAGAAAGGGAAGGGCTGAGCTTTCCTAAGAAAGTTTCCCCTGTTACAGGGACTTATTTTTCTCGAAATGCTGTATGCCCATCAATACTAGATTTCCTGATTACACCAATTACCTGGTATCTGCTGAACACCCAGGAAGGCAACAAGTTCCTTTAAAATGTTAGCTCTGTTACTTTAAGATAGCATGCCTTACTTCTTGAGCTTGGCTCAAGAGATCTTTCACTTGAAAAAGACAAAGACACTGGAGGACTTCTGAGGGCTGGAGAGAGCTTGGCTTTTGGACTGTGCTGTCCCAGGTATGTTATGTATAATTTTAGTTGGCTCCCTTTTTCCAGAGAGAGAAGAAAGCTGGATGTGGCCTTGGCTGCATCTCATTCTGCTGCAGCTTGAGGGGCTTTAAGTGACATGCAAGCTGTATCCTGATGCAGCAGGGCTGTATGAATATGGTGGGGAGCAGCTCTTCTCACTCCTTTCCCTGCTGCAGTTTGTTCAAAGCCGCATCACTGGCTCAGGGAAAATGTGTTGCCTCCAGCACTGCAGTGTGAGAACTTGATAAGAGGGGTAGGAGAAAGGCGCACTGAGATTTTGGAGGCTTGCAGATGTGTTGGAGGGGCTGCTCGGAAGAAGGAAATGAGTATGTTGCAAGTTGCAGGGCTGGGGTGGAGTGTGTGAAAAATGAGATGCCAAAGTATTCAGGGAGTCCCGGCAGAGAGGGGAAACTCATTGCCATGACTGGCAGCAATGCAGGATGAGCTCTTCACAAATAACCCAGGCAGGGCCATAAAGCCCTCAAGGGAGCTGTTATTTCCTTCTCTTCCACCTCAGCACTACTCCAGAGCTGAGAATAAGTTTACTCCTTGTGTTGCCAAATGTCTTAAAAATGTATTCGTGTTTTCATCAGCCACACTTCTCTTATTACTGCTTAAAAGAGCCTTTTGCTCCTTAAATTATGTACACATACATGTGTGTGCACCTCTCCCTTCCCCTATGGCCACAGCAAGTACCTTTCTCTTCCCAAGGACCCTAAAGCCACCTTCAGGCAGCATCCAGGTATCATGTAGCTGTGGTCCAGAGAGGGGAGCTCTGCCTGGGAATCTGTGCAGCCTTCCTGAACCATGCCTTTGGATTTGCTAGGTGTGTGTGTCTGTGCCTTCAAAAGTCTTTGAGCTATTCCAGTGCTCTGCAGGGTTTTCCCATTGGTAGTAAATGTGTTTGCAATGAGGAAGGTGACAGTTTTCTCCTTAGAGCACGGTATCCTGCCGCGCTCTCCTCAGGGTAAGAGCCTGAGTGCTTGCTGCCTGCTGTGGGACTTGATGTGTTAAAAGTGCGTGCTTTAATCTGCGTGGGAGGCCACAGATGACCGAGTGTTCAGGTCATCTCGTGTTTGTGTGCCTTGTGTTAAATTTCACAGAGTAAGTCAAACAAGTCAGCGTGGGGGGAGTTTTGCCCCCCCTTATTTCCTCTCCAGAGCTAGATTTAAAAATGTGTACACGAGGATCTGCTTGTTAGAACATCTCATGTGCATTTGCCACAGGGGACCCTGGATGAACAGCCCTTGCAGTGACACTTTTCCCTTTTGTGTTTCTGTAAAGCAGACAGTGTGTGCAGGGTGAGACAGGGGTTTCAAAGCTCCTGTGAATTAGGGGTTGAGATTGGTCTCAGGCCTCAACAACAGCACATTCAGAGACTGACGCAGTTCCCATCTCAGCTGGGGGTTTTGCTGACAGAATGTAAATAGAAACCACTCCAAGAAATTTGCTTTGGTTTTTTTTCTGTGCTCACCCACCTTTGAGGTCCTGTGGTTAATCTGCCTCTGTTCTGTTTGCAGGTCTGACTGCCTCATTAAAACAATTCGGTCGGAAGGCTACTTTGGCATGTACAGAGGTAAGTACAGCTGACTCAGGCACAGCACAGCTTTTGCGTTGGAAGCACTGGTGCATAAGTAGGAGGAGAAGCTCTGTTCTCTGGCACATAAAGCAGTAACCTGGCAATATCCTAGGAGGTTGAACAGTGCAGGTGTTTCTGAAAATAAACTCCTCCATGCAGGTTCTGTTCAGATATCTACCACTGAGGATTTGTGTCCTCCTCATGAGTGTTTTGCTGTTAAACCTTACCACTTAGTGAAGTTCATCTTTACCAGTAGTTTAAGTGAAGCTGCTGGACTTTGTTTCAGGACTGTATGTTATGTTTCCCACTTTGAGAATGGTAACTTTTGACAGGGCCAGTAGCAAACCAAATCTTGAAGTTCTGTGGTTAATGATAGAATTTATGTCAAAGCCCTCCACCAGCATGGTCAGGCCTGCTGTCTCAAGCATGCCCAAGTGCCTTGTTCAAGCATTAAGACAAACTGCAGTTTAAAAAAAAAAAACTGACATTGTACCTTTTTAACTTTTTTAGTTTAAACACAAAATCCCTGTAAGTTTTTAAAGATTTTGAGGAGAGGAGACCAGCAGGCCAAATCCTGACTTTACTTGTAGCAGAAGAAAATGTGGAATACCTTCTTGGCTTGCAGCACAGTCCAGCTGGCTTCATTGACACTGAGCTCTGGTTCATTTTGTGTCCTGATAGTCACTTGCCTGCATATGCAGTTTTATCTGGGGTGCTCAGATCGCATTCTTGGTGGCACTCGGTCACTGATAAAGCCTGATTAAAGTTACGCTACTAAGTTGAGCCCTTGCTCTTTGTTTTTTCAAGCAGAAGTCCGGAGATGCTGGTGCCTTGCTCTTGGCATGTGTAGTTTTCTCTTGCTGCTTCTTCCCTGCTCCTAAGGAAACACAGGCATTGTGGCTGGCCACCCCAGGAACAGGCACTGGATATTCAGGCAGCGTCACTTGCCCAACTTCCTGGTGGGCGTTTCAGGGGAGTGTGGTGGATGGCAGGGATGGATTGGCTGCTTTGCATCAGCTTTCCTGGGAGCAGGCAACAAGACAAATAACCTCAAGGAGCCCTGGCAGGCTCTGTCTTCGATGCTAGCAGTGACGTGTTCCCCTTTGATTTTTTCCAGAAGTTGGCTGCTTCTCTGTTCCTAGTGAGGAGTTTGAGCTTGTGTAACTTTGGCTGTAAATGTGCAATGGCAAGCTTTGTGCTTGGTGGGAGGCAGAAGGAAGAAGCTGTTTCGGGAAACTTACAGGGGAGACTGTAGGACCAAGAGTTTTTGTGAGAATCAGGAAGCTGTCTTTTGGGAAGTCCCTTAAGGCATAGAGTGGTAGAGAGGATGTGGATCTCCAGACCACTTGTCATCCCCAAGCAGAAGAATGCAGAGGGTTTTGCATTACCTCTTTTCCCAATGTTTCCCAAGTCTGGTCAGCTTGGTCCAGGTCCCTAATTCTGTTCAGGGTGCTGATAGTTGCCTGAAATGACTTCTGACTATAAATAGAGAGCTGGATTGGAGAGGCCTTTTTTGAATAGCTCCAGCTCCTTCCAGAAAATTATAGAGATTTCAGCATGGCCAGGATGCAAATGTGAGTATTCCCAAAAGCAACAATCCTGGTCTCTGTGCCTCAGTTCTGTGAGCTGACATGAGTAGCCTTTCCCTCCCTCTCAAGGAGAGGGTTGGTGGGTAAAATACATCCAAGGACCATGAAGATTGTGTACTTCTCTGTACTTTTCTGTAAAGAAGGTGAAGAGATGTCTGAGCCTTGTAGACAGAGAAAGATGGAAATCAGGTGGTGGGATTGGTTCCTGCTCCCTCCAGCTGTCCTAGTTCCCCAGCAGAATTTGCTGCATGACTCACAAGCTCTTATTTGCAGGCTTTAAGCTGAAATTGGGAGGATTATATGTTAATGTGCTAAAGTAGCAGCTGCTGCTCCCCATGGAGGAGTCACAAGCACGTCAGTTGTCCCTGCAGATCCTTTGGCCTCTGTCAGAGGACAGAAAAGGGTCTGTTTGGGCACAGCCATTCCTGCTGTGTGACTTCAGGGCTCCTTCATGTGTGAGTCAAATATCAGTGCAGACAGGAGAGTGGCTTGTGCTCGTGGGATGCTTTTCTGCAAATCACCTCTTAAGGTGTTTGTGTGGGCAAAAAGTCTTTGCTTTGTATAAGTAGCCCATAGAAAATTGTGTGATGTATAAGGCAATCCCAACATTTCTCTGAAGTTCTTTCCCAAAAAAAGTGACAGAACGCACCAAAGTTACAGGGATTCTTGGATTTGTTTGGGGCAGGAAGAAGAGGAGTTCCCTCATGTTTTTTTACCATAACAGCTGTATAGCAGCAATGCCTCAAAGCTGGATGGTGCTGTCTGGCCCTGTCTGTGCTCAAGGAATTGATGGTGTGCAGCCTTAAAACATGACACCAAGTGAATGAATCCATAGTGCCTGGGGGCTCCTGGTCCCCATGGGCATCAGAGATGCTCTTTCAGCTTCCTACTGCAGTCCAGCCAGAGGCTACCTAAAGATGCCAGCACATGTTCTGAGCAATCTCAGTGCTGTTTGCAGACCAAGTGTTTAGCCAAGCTGGCAGGAACCAAAGGCTCAGATCAGGCTGAGGAAGTGCCCTTTGCTGTTGGTGACGTTTGGAGGGTAGCTGCACTTCAGCTGCAGTAGTGTGGCAGCCTTCCCTGGCTTCTGCTAATAATATCTCCCAGTGCTGCACTGGGGATGACTCAATCCTCTGTTATGTAGGTTGCTGGTGATGTATAAGGGCTTCTGTGAGAAATGTGTTTTAATAAAAAACCAAGACTTGGTGAGAAGAGGGTGCCTACAAGTTTAGTTGGCAAAAAAACTGGTTTTGCCTCGGTTTATTTTGTTTGTAGAGTGCTTCCTTACTTCTTTTCAAAAAGCTTTGTTTTTTTAATGATAGTTATTTATGTTTCCATTCTGTTTGTCCATCTTTGCTTGTGGTACATGTAGCATTGTCTTTAGGCCGAGGTTGGCTTTAGATAGGGAAGTACTCATTGGTGTGGGCAGAATTGAGAAGATTGTACAAAAAGAAGAAGATGCTGTGGAAAGCATACAGCCAGCAGCTGGAGTATCTAATTTCTCTTCCTCCAGCAAATTGAAGCTGTTATGGATTATTCAGGACAGGGATTATCCATTCCCTGCTAAGCAGCTTTACTGAAAATATCAACAATGTAGGAGAAAACCCAGGTTCATTAACTTCTTTTCCTGTATATTGCGTGTTTTTACCCTCTGCTTTATTTTCAATTGAAGAGAATCTTCTATGAAAGCCTCTTGGTTCCTGAAGGTCAGCATGTGGAAGTGAACTTCTTGTGTACCTTTCTTGCTTGATGGTTTGGAGTTTGTTTGCTTTCTTTCAGTGAACCCTTTGCACTGGTGTTAAGAGTAGCAGGTTTATGCTTTTTTCTTTCTCTTGTTTTTCCAAGGAAAGGGTTATTCATGCTGTGTTTTGGTGTACAAGTGTTATACTTCATAGCCATTGGGAGTGTCACTGAAAGTCATCTTCAGCTTGGCATTTGAGGAAATACTTCATGGGTGGCCACTTCAGCTTAAGAATTAGGCTGTGTGGATTTGCTTTGTAGATCCTGATATGATTGGCATGAAGAGATGGATGTGGAGCGTGAAGGTCATTTCTGTGTGGCTTCTGTTCATGTGCAAGAGCCATGGCAGGGGGACATGATGTATAGGAAGAACATCAAACCGAAGCAGCACAATCATTGGTGCCCTTAAAAGTTTGCAAAGAATCAGAAGTGTGAGAGGTCTGCCCTGCTAGTTGATTTGTCTGCTGTAAAAGATGATGGCATTTGTTGGATGTCATCGCCAGTGTGGAATTAATGCGCTGGCTTGGCTTGCTATGAGGCAGCATTACTCTGTGTTTTTTGCAAAATCTGAACATGGGAGTTGAAAGGGTGGAAGATATGTTGGGGTGCCCAGCCCTGTGCACAAAAGGCTGTCTTTTCTTGCTGCAATTTCCTGAATGGTGGAGCCATGTCTTCCAAGCAGATGTTGTGGAGCCAAGGATTCCTGTGTCCCACTCCCCACTGTAGTGGTCCCAGAAGTCCCATTGTGACTTTGCTTCCTAATCTGAGGAGAGTCCATCCCAAGAAATAGAGGATTGAACTCACTTTCTGTGGGTGTGTTTGGCCCTTACAGCTCCTGTCAACTTGGGTTCAAAGGTCCTGAAAATTAGCCCTACCAGGTCTTTGGAGCCTAGCTGGGGGTGCAGGCTTCTCTGGCTGCTTCTCTTTGGAATATGAATCTTTGGGATAAATTGTTTAAATCTCAAAGGCAAGCACGAATGCCTGTATTTGTGTTTGTTCTTACCAGAGGTGTTTTAGGCCATTAACAAGTCTCAAGTGTAGCTCCTTTGGAGGGCTTGGAGCTCAGTACATTTCAGTGCAGATAGGGAGAGCTTAAGGCTATCCACTGATGGACTTTTTGAGCCGTAGGATTTAAATGGAGGAGAATGTTCTGGAGTGTTAAATCTGATGGTGCAAACTCCACGCTGCTGGGAAGGGACTGGCCCTTCCCTCACCCCATTTACCCCAGGGCAGATTGAAAGCTGTTCCCAGCCACTGTGTTGCACTAATGTTTCACTAATACTGGTGTTCAGGGCCCACAGCAGCCAGCCAGGCCATGCAGGCCTTTCATTGTGACAGGCACAATGCAGGGATTTGCTGTTTGTCGCTCCTGACAAAAGGGCACTCCAGCGGGAGGGGGATGCAGGGAGCCAAGGCTTGTTTACACCCCAGGTCCCCCAGCAAGCCTTGCCATGGAGCGCGGAGAGGAATTTCTGTGTGCTGCAGCTTGTGGTGGGCAAAAAGCCACTTCAGTGGTGGCTGTTCTGGGGGTGTCCTAAACTACTACAGGGTGACACCCAGTGGTGATACACAGGGGAAGCCACTTTGCACTAAGGGCTGGTCTAGAGCTGGTTCTGGGCAGATCAGCACGGTGACTTCAGCCAGCCTCCAGGTCTTTCAATGACTCTGCCTTTTCCGAGCAGCTTGGTAATCGAGCTGCTCTGGTGTTTTCTGGGGAGGAAGCAGGGGAGGGACCCAGTGAGAAGGCAGGGCAGGGGGTCTTTTGTTTCTCAGTATCACAAAATATTTGCAAAGGAGTTAGAACTGGTTGTTAAACCATCTTGTACTCCTTTTCTGAAGGTTTGATCTGCATCTTTCTGAATTCATAGGAATGCATCCTTGGATGAGAGATGAGGATGCATGTATACATGGTGGGAGGTAGTAGTAAAGCTGAAGAAATTACAAAATACATATGGCAAATGGAGCAGAAACACATCTGGGGATGTTTTCATAAATCCAAGGTTTTGGGAGACAGAAATACTGTTTTCAGTGTTTTGTATTTCTGAATCCCTTTGGTGCACTGGGAGCTTTACTTCATTTGTGCTTTGTTTTGTGCTGAAGTTACAACACATTCCTGAAAGACTCAGTTAACAATCCTTTTATTCTCATTATCCAATGTCCTTTCTCTCTTCCTTGTCCAGGGGCTGCAGTGAACTTGACTCTGGTGACACCAGAAAAGGCTATCAAACTGGCAGCCAATGACTTCTTCCGGCATCACCTCTCCAAAGACGGGTGAGTAGGGAATTGACCTTTTGCAGTCAACTTAAAAGACACCGACACTTGGAACACGTCTGGTGAGACATCAGGAAAAGGTGGACTGGGATAGTGCAATGACTGAAATATGAGTTGACCTCGAACAGCTCAGCTGGTGATTACGTTCAGGCTAAGGATGCAATGTCTAAAATGGGAAGCGTGAAGCATTCCACTGGATGACTGCTCTTTATTCAAGCTTCTAAAAATAGTCCCAGATTTAAGCCAAGGTTAGCAGATCCAGAATGTGTAGTGTAAGTATTTGAGAGGAACCCAATGTCATTGATCATTGCTCAAACAGCTGCTGGGAGGACTCTTATTTTCAGCATCTTATTGCATCCTCTTGTGCTCCTTCTGGCTCAAAGAGGTATCAAGTCAAGTTCTGTGGACCTCAAACTTAGCACCCCTCTTTTTATTTTGTACCTTGAGAATTGTTTTAGAGAGGTAGTAAATCTGAATTGACTAAGGGCACTGGCAGCAGCTGACCTTCAAATAAATGCTGAAGGAATAAAATTACCTGTTCAGCTTGCAAGTTTGGTTCATGTGAGTTAAATGTGTGTAAAAGGCATAAGCTGGAGCAGTTGTGAGAGGAGCTGGATCCTGAATACTTAATGCTGCTTTCACCAAGATGTTTTCCAAATTGCATGGGAAATAGTTGTGTCTCCTATCAGAGAGAAGCCTTTCCCCAGAGGCAGACAAGGGCATTGTCTCCAGTCCTCAGTGACAGCCTGCTTGGGATATGATCCCAACAATTCCCATCAACAGTTATGAGGTGGAGCCTCAGTGAAAATGCAAAGCTCCAGCACAATTACTGGGCTTAACTTCCCAAAGCATATCACGTCAGTCTTGGCTGCTGCAGATCAGTGTCTCAGCAACTTCAGTGGAGATTGTGGACTGACACAGATTGAGAATCCATTTTTCCCCTGTACCTTGTCTTTTTTTTCTCTTTTGTTCTCGAGTCCTTTAAAGTAGCAGCTAACATATGTCTGCGTGACTCATCGGCTCACAGCTCTTCGTGATTTTCTGACTCAAGTCTTCAAATAGTCTCTCTTCTGTGCTCTGCTCAGACAGTGGGAGGTAATGATGTCCTGTACCAAGCGGGGAGTCTCATCCCTGCAGCAGACAGCCCAGGACACCTTGGTGTTCTGCAGTAAACAGCAGCACAGCTCTTTGCCACCACCTACAAAGTGGGGGCTTAGTAGTTTGTACAGGCCCAACAGGGTGCCAAGCTGCCACTCCTTGCACTGCCACTAAGGGAATGGTTCCATGGAAGAAATCAGACTAGCATTGCAACATATTTGGCATTCTGGGAGAGCAATCACTGCTGTGATGTTTAAGCCATTAAAAAGGGACATGCCTGTCAGTCAGTGTCCTGCACCGTGAAAAGTAAAGGCTTCCTCAGAGGACAAGTGTGTGTGTCTGCTTCCGTGAGGAGTCCAGCTTTGAACAGATCTTTGGGTAAGTGGGATGCAGCTGTTTCCATGAGCAGCTGAGGTTTTCTCTCAGACCTCTTCCAGTTTGACTTTTGGGTCACTGGCTGGTGCACACATGACATAGATGATGTGCTGCACTTAATCCAGAATAAAAGAGCTAGAGAATTTTTCCAAGAGCAAGGCCCCCTGTTCCCCTAAATCTTACATACTGATGGGTCTGGCACTACAGTGACCTAGAGCAGGAGCATGATACCACCCAGGTAGTGGGAGGTTTTTGTGTCTCAACACAGAGAAATTTTAGTTCCTCTAGAGAAAAGAGAGGTTGGGTCACAGGTGACAAGCGCTAAGCAGCATGTGGAGTCAGTCACTCATTTATCCACTGTGGGTGGCTTGAATGAGTGAAATCTGGTCAGCTCTGCTCTTGATGGTAGCCAGTGTGAGCTGGACAGAGAGGCAGAGGCAGAGCCTTGTTACTACTGTGGTAGATGATTTAATGTGTTTCTACCTAGAAATGTCACCCCAAAATATGATGGGAAGAAAAATGCCTTCCAGGTTTGCTGTGGCTGGTATAGGCTTTGAATGTGGGATCTGGCAGTTTTCTCCCTTGGCATGCTTCTGTCCCATTCTCCCCAGTTGCCTTAGTAAGATGGGGCAGGATTAACTGTGCTGGAATTTAAAGGTCTCTCCTACCCAGGACCCAACAGGGTGCATACCTGCTAGCACATCACAAGGCTGGGCCACCTATTTCACCAGCCAAAGCCTAGTTATAAACAACAAAATAGCTTGGGGTTAGAAAGGTTAAGCCTGGAGCTGCCTGGCACATGAATGTGGTTTCATTTCTTGGTATGTAATTGCATCAGTCAAGCTGTTACATTGGGCAAAACACACTGGTGGGGTTAGGATCAGTGTAAGGCTGGATCAGTAAGATCATGATTGAGCTCCACCAAAGTCCTTTTTGCACAAGCCAGTCTGTCTGCTGTGTGCATTCATAGATGCTGTGCCTTTAGGTCAAGTATCCAAAAGGATGTTCTGACTCAAAGTTGCAGAAGTCTTCCAGACCTGTTTATATTGAATGCCTTTGTGCTAAGCATCTAGCACTTGTCTTGCTTGAAATATGTTGCATGGCATGATAAAATGTGCATTTTCTACCAGTATTTGCTGATTAAAATATGTGGTATTAAAATAGACCTCAATATGCAAGAGGAGGAGGCATGTGTGGACCAGAAAGAGTGTGGCAAATCCAGCATGACTCAAAGTAGCCTCAAGTTAAACAACAGCTTTTGGTTTAGATTAATGTATTTATTTTTATCCTTTGAAAAACTTAGTGTTGAAATTGCTTTTAAACTGCTAGGATAAAAAAGTGGCATAAAGCCTATTTTTGAAAGGCTAGACTGAAAACAGCACCTGTGGTGTAGAAAGCTCCTGACTGCAGATTGCTGGAAGAGTATTTTAGGGATGTTATCACTACAGGTTTGTGCTAGACTCCTTTTTCCCTGGCTCTGCTCTTGGACACTGCTTGAGGTAGAGCACTGGGGCAGCAGGTCCTCACAAGGGATCTTCTGCCCTTGTTGGTGCACCTCTCTCCGAGTGTGCAGGTATGTGTTCCTGCAGCTCTCTCCACCCTGAGACCCAGGGAAGCACTCCTGCCTGTACCGTGCTTTGTCCCTCCCTTGTGCAGGGAGCGTGTGTGCTTACAGGCTGGGGGACATAATTTCTGCTTACCAGTTTCTATTTCTTTGCCAGTTTCTATTTTCATGTGAAGGCCATTATGACAGCCTACAGCTACAGCGTTCTGTTTTCTCAAGAAACAAAACTGAGTTGGTCCTCCCAAGCTGTCCTGGTCATTTAGGAACGAGGGAGGCCTGAGCGAGTTGTGTGAGTGCTGAAAACATGCTTGCTATGCCATGGAGGAGAGGAGGGAGACCAAGATACTGAGGGGCATCCCATGGCCATGACTGAAAAAGGTGATAAGGGTCAAGTGATTTCCTGTGATGATTTTGACCTAAGAGCCTCAGCAGTTGCCAGGGGAAGAAGGTGACCCATAGAAGAGTCTCCAGGCAGGCCTTTGTTCCTGTGTCATTCTGTGGGGAAGAGTTTTCAGGCTGGGGGAAGGCAGAATGTGGAGAGAGGGGAAACTTTCAGTCTTCAGGCTGCTGGAAACAGATGGGATTTTTTTAACTCTGGCTTTTTGAAGATGCCTGTGTTGAGAGACTCAGTCTCATGGCTGCTCTTAAAGTAGGAGTGGCTTCATTGTCCAGAACGGAGGGTGTGAGGAGTCACCAGGGCTAAGTGAAGCACTTGAGTATGAAGCTGAGAAGGCAATTTAGACTGATAGTACACCAGCATTTAAAGTACATTATTGATTATTGGTTGCTCACTGTGTGAGGCCTCTTTGATTGATATAAGTATTGCCTGCTTTTTATATGCTCTTTGAATCTGGGTATTAAACACCTAATAAAATCAGTTCCTTTAAAGTGTCCTACAAGATTTCGTGTTTCTCTCCAAAGTGTGGAGTGCCAGATAGCTGTTTTGTTGGGCATGTGTTTGCCAGGTTTTGTTCATTTTTCAGGTTCTTAGTTAAATATTCTGCCTAGGCTGCAGTAAAAAGTGTCTCATGCCTTCTTACATAAGCAATTTGTTGCTCATAAAAACTTTCCAGCGTCCCTGGATGAGTTTCCTGCTGTTCTTCTCCAAGGTGTTATTCCCTTACTTACCCTGTCCTCTTTAATCTTGACCTTTATTTTGTTTGCTGTTCTGAAGCAAAGGCTGGCAATCTGCTGTCTTAGCAGCTCAGATTCCTAGGAAGACCAGCATGACTGACTTAATTCAGCCTTTGCTGATACTAGCAAATTTTCTTCTATTCTGCTTCCTCTGGTCTTGTATCTTTGCACATGAAAGAGAAATAGCCAGCTGGTAATCCTGGGACAAGCAAGGTACTTTTCCAGTCTTATGCAGATGTGGAGACTGGAGCTTGTTGTCTGTTGCCTTCCCAGCTGATGCATCTCCCCAGGGCTCTTTCCTTCATCTGCTCTTCCTTCAGGCTCTTCTAAAATACTTGTACCATCTCTTCTGTGGCATGAGTTTAAGTATCAATTGTGTGTCCTGGGTGATCCTTGAGCTGTTGAACACTCTTAGGCTGTAAAGTGAGGCTCTCAATTTTGGAAGAAGGAGTGTGGCTGCTAGTCCTGGTGGTGAGCTGCTCTATCACCCTGCACGCACATTGCTCTTTCTTTGGCACTTGTGTGCCCAGGCAGCCTCTCCTGCAGTTTTCCACTGGATACTCAGACACTTCTTTAATGTAGGTAGCCCTCATCCAACTCACTGAGACTTGGAAGTGGAGAAATCTCTCCCTTCCCCTTGAGAAGGAGACAGGAGCTGATAATGTCACTGTGCCAATTCAGAACAGCTGCTTAGGGAGAGCTCTTTTATTTAGCACACAGAGGCCAGGCAGTTGCAGTGGGTTGAAGCTGTTAACATCAAAGGTCAGCCAAAAAGTAAATGCACTTTCAACTGCTAATCTGGAGGGAGATAGATATGTGTTGTTTAATCAGAGAACGCACCCATGGGAGCATTGTTCTTGTCATCATTCCAGGCACATGTCTTGGGACAAAATGTGTGTTTGTGTTCAGCATGCTCAGTCGTGTTACCCTGTCCATTGTTCGTTTCCACAAATGTTCACATTGGAGCAAAACATTTGGAATTTCCTGCCAGGGCAGACCTGATGCAGGTACAGAGTCAGCCTCCTCTTGACTTAGTCCAAACATGCAACAGAGCTCCTTCACATACCTGGAGTAATGACTTCCAGTTCAACATTTAACCTGGCAGTGTTACTTTGAGATGTTCAACATCAGTACTTTATTTGGCTTGTCTGAGGCATTTTTGAGCTGGCAGTAGAAGTGAGAGGGAGCTTCTCAGTTGTGGGGACTGCATTTCCAGCATCATAGCTCCAGCTTTTCTGAAGTGCAGTTGCAGTAGATTGTTGTTCCCCCTTGGAAAATCAGGGGTTGGATTAAAGGGACTGACTGGCAGTTTGTGTGCATATCCCCCTGTGTCTGTGGCAGAGAGGGTGCTCTTCCTTTGAAGGACAACTCCTGTGTGCTGGTCTTCTAATCCGTATCAAAGATCCAGTATTTAAATTGTTTGAGAGGAACTGGCTCTGTCTGCTTTGAAACACCTGGGGAGCTTTCTACAATTCTTGGACTGACAGACAGAGGGAGAGGTTATTTTATGAGTGAGGAAGGTGATGTCCAAGCTGGGGACAGTAGCCTGTTGGGTAGGAAATAGAAACTGATTGCTTTGTCTGGATGCTTCTTTGGCTCAGAGATTTTCTCTCTGGAAGCGTTGTCATCCTGATTCCAGAATGGCTGTTTCTGGTCCCTGCCCAAACACAGTAAATTCCCACATGGCCAAGATTTTTCAGAAATTTGAAAAAATCCTACACTGCTCCCATGTGACATCAATATACCAATGCTGTCAGAGATCCTAATTTTGAACTGATTGCTCCCAAAAAGCCTTCCATAAATCTCTAGTTCCTGCTTTTTGAGTTTTATTTTTCAGCTCTAGTTTGAAACTCTAATTTAAACTCGTTAAATTAATTTAACTCAACCAGGAATCTTGTCCCCTTCCCATTTGACATTTTTGATTTGTCACAAATTAATAGTATGTCAGTAAAAAATGTGGAACAACTGATTTCTGCCAGTGCAGAATTTGAGGCTATTGTGTGTATGTTATATTTAACACTCTCTTGCTGTGATAAAAGATGGTTTCTGCATTTGTAGGACCAGATCTTTGCTGTTGCTGCAGCTTTTGAAGTTAGTTGAGATGTGCCAGTTTTTAAACCACTGAGGATAAGGCCAGTGGTGCCTTAAATATTGAAACCCCTTTATTATCTAGAACAGTTTTCAAGCTCCTTTTATGTACAGACTGCTGAGGTTTTGCAAAGGCAGTTTGACCCCTGTATGGCAACTTTTAAACCTCCTGTCAAATCCTGTAAGATTTGCTTATCTTAAGCTACTTCTTTTCTTGGACTCTCCCCAGTTCCCAGGATGTGAAAACCAAAAGCTGAAAGCCCTAGTTCTAGATGCTTTTGATGTACTAGTTTGACATCTCTAAAATACACTCACATGCATAAATCCTTCCTTGGTCATGCTGGCATAGCTCCATGGAGTTCAGTCAAGTCAAGGCTGACTTCAGTTGGCTGGGATAATGGTCCAAGATGAATATGTAGGCCAAATCTTCCAGATCTTTTGAACTAATTATCAAAGCAGTTGCCCTGGATGAAAGCCAGAAGATATGTACTCCAGGGATGCTCCAGGGCTCTTGCTAAACTGGGAGGTGCTCTGCTGTGCCAGAGAGGGGTTCTGGCAGCCAGCTCCTTTGGATGGTTTGCTTCCTCCCACAGCCAGGCTGGGGATTGTGCAGCCTTGCTGCTGACTGTATTGAGCCACTTAGAGACTGGTGCTGTGCTTCAGGCCACCCAAAAGGCACAAGTTGGCCACCTCCAAGAGGCAGTGGCAGTGGGAGCCTCTGGATTTGCACATTATAGTTCCCCCATACCTCCAGGAAAGCTTACTGTGCACACTTCCGCACCAGTGTGGGTAACTCCGTGGTAGGGTTTGTTCTTTGCAGCTCCTCATCTGTGGGGGAGTTTGGAAAGGGGAGACTAAAATATTCCTTCTTTCAGCCTCATAGGATAGCTCTGTATTTAGTCTCTGGTAATCTCTGTTGTGGCTCTGTGCCTTTAATCCCCTGTTCTCATATCCTCCCCGGAGAAGATGAGAGGTGGAGAAATCAGCCCAGGTTACGTGGTGGGCCAGCAGGATTACAGTGCATCTGCCCTCCCATTCGTGTAGGGTTGGCATTGAAACTGCTTTGCTGGCCCACTGCCCCACAGCTGTGCTGTGTGTGTGCTTGTGAAGCCCCTGGCAGGGAAGTGTGCCTGGGCTGTGCAAGGGAATGGGGAATATCACTGTGGGACTGCTTCCGCCACAGTGTGGGGATGTGCCATGAGCAGGTTAAGATGAGGTATTACTGCAGAGCAGGGCTGGGGGAGGTAAAAATAGTACTTGCATTGAAAACAGAAAAATGAGGAGGCTGTTTCTCTCTGGCTGTGTGATTTATATGCACTTTTTTTTAAAACCCTTTTAGAAAAGAGTAGGTCAGATGTACTTTTTAATCAAGTCAGTGTTTTCTGTTGCCAAAGCGTGAGGTTTTTTTTATGGGGCAAAAACACATCACTTTCTGAAAATTGAAACTTTGTGAGGTTTTGCATCCTGAGTTCCTCTTTTTAGTCTAAGCTAAGCTTTGGAATGAAGGGAACAATGAAATGCTGCATTTTGATGAGTGAGAACATGTTGCTGATAGTCCCTGCTCTGTAGTACAGAGAATGTACAAATCTTCATTGCTGGAGGTCCATCCCATCCCTTGTCTCTCAGGGAGGACCATTTTAGTGCAAAGGTTATTTGTTCAGGTTTGGAAAACCTGGGAAGATGAAGCAGCTCCTAACCACAGAGGAACTGCCTCCCTAATTAATATTCACTGTTTATTTACTGTGCTTTTCTCAGAGAACTCCAAAGCAGTAAGTAGAATATTTTCCCTCCTTGCTCCTTGTCCTGTGGTTTGTGTTTGTTGACAATTTTTAAAGGACTAGGCTGGCAGGAAGAAAGCTGCTTATCCCCCTTAATGCTCAGGTCCTCTGCTGCCCTCTGATGTGATAGCCTTTCTGAAAGCTGTGCCCTGACCAGGGCCACCAGCAGGCTGGAAGAGAGCTGCAGTGCTCGGGCTGTGAGTGGAGGGGGCTGTGTCCTCCTGTCTGGAGCTGTTCTGACAGGGCTTGTGGCTTTTCTGAATGTTCTGTTTCTGGGGACAAAATTAGTCTATTCTCCATGTCAGGTGGTGCTGGCAGAGATGCCAAGCCTGGACTGTGCTGAACTGTCAGGCCTAGCAGGTTCTTCTGCCCCATTTCCTGTAACCCCTGGGGTCAGAGATGTGCCCTGAGCCTTGTACCCAGCTGCCCAAGTGTAATTCCAGGCCACCTCCTCTGATGGACTCTCTCTCTTTTCTTTGGGCAGGAAGAAGCTGACATTGCTGAGGGAGATGCTGGCGGGCTGTGGTGCAGGTACCTGCCAGGTGATTGTCACCACTCCCATGGAGATGCTCAAAATCCAGCTGCAGGATGCAGGACGCATTGGTACGTGGACTTTTCTTCCCTGAGCGGGGAGAAGGGAAGAGCTGGGACTGGACTTTCAAGGTGGAGCTGAGAGGATGAGTGGAAAAAACCCTTTTCCTTCCCCCTGCTCTCCCATGTCAGAGATACCACATATGTAGCAGAAGTTTCTCCTCCTCTTCCCAGCTTACTTGCCCCAACACTTTGCTCAGCTGGCTTTGCAGAGGCCCTTGCAGTTACAATAGGCAGTGGGTTTTTTGCTCAAAGCCTGGCAAGTGAAACAGCAAATGCTGTTGATGGATGGAGAGGCAGGAGAAAGGACTGGGTGGTCAGGTTGTGATTCAAACTTGGTAGATCCAGTGCCTTTCCCATGCTGCTTCCTCCATTTCCATGTTTTCTGATGTCTGTTTTTTCTCTCCTCTACCCCCCTGTAGCACCTCCCTAACAGCTTCCCAAAGGGATGTGTTATTTCCAAATGACTTGTCTCCCCTTGTACTCTTTTTTTCTCCCTGACAAAAACAGCAGTTGTCTCGGTTGAAACAGTAAATAAAATTCTCCCAGTGCACTGGATTTGAAGGAGGTTTGGGATCAGACTCTTGGGACTGTGGGCATGAGCTGACAGGCAGAGGCAGGAGGGGAGTGTGCCTTTTGGCTGAAACACTGTGGAGTGTTTCTGGTGAGAGCAGAGACCAGAGTCTGACTTGGAGACTCTGGGGGAAAGAGCTGCTTGCTCTTTCCTTAGTCTCTTCCAGAGGTCAGTCTGGGTTATGGCCTCACTTCCCAGGAGCCCTACATGACACTGTCAGATACCATGTTTATAGCCCTTCCTGGAAAATGGGCCAATTTGTCCTTTAATCTCTCATTTGATGTGGCATTCCTGAATAATCACGGATTTACTTTTTCTTTTCTCTCTTCACTGGTTTTACGGCAGACCTTATCCTCTTTGTGCGTATTATTTTAAAATGTTGGAAGGATTTAAGCCATGGTTTGAGGGTTCAGGAGAGGTTTTGGATGTTGTGAACAGCCTGTTCTCTGTGTGGCAGGAGACCTGTGGTGTGCCAGGGATTACTTACAGATGGAAGTGCTCTCCATCTTCTGGCCAAAGGGCCGAAGTGCATCAGTTGGAAAAGTGGGAGAAACCAGGATGTGTTTATAAATGTGACTGAGAAACTCCCTGGGTTAATGATTGCTTTCGGGGGAGGGAGGCACAGAGCAGAACGTGGGAAGCTGTCTTGTTTACGAACATCTTGTTTGTTTCACTAGCAGCTCAGGGACACACCTGGAAGTAGGGACTGTCCCCTGCCTGCTCACAGCAGCTCCTGTTCTCTGCACTGCACAGATGGTGCGTGACAGGACGCTCCTGCTCGGGCAGACGGGCTGGAGGGAGAGCGCAGCCGACAGCGTTGTGGTGCGGCAGCGCTGTCAGAGACCGGGGCAGGCTGAGGGAAATGGGGGGGCAGCTGCCTGGCCTTTGTCTGCATGTTGTGTTGCCCCTGGGGATGTGCCTGTCCCCCTGTCTGGCGGCACCGGGCAGCAGCAGGCTGCGGTAGGGCACCCTGCAGCCCGGTGCTGGCGCTCTGCTCCCCAGCGGCACAGAAGAAGCTGATGGCAGCGCAGGCCCAGCTCTCCTCCGCCGCGGCGGCCGAGCCGGCGGTGGAAACGCGCACCACGGCCACCCAGATAACCAGGGAGCTGCTGCGGAGCAAAGGCATCGCTGGACTCTACAAGGGCCTGGGAGCCACGCTGCTAAGGTAGGATGGTGTGGGCTTGAGCACGGGGCGCTGGCGTTCCCCGTCTTGCACCCAAGGCACCCCCCCATCCCAGGAATGAGCCTGCAGAGGAAGTGTTGGCTTCAGAGGGCGTGGACTCGGTTTCCATGCACGGGTTTTGTACATTAAAGAAGGGAAGGTCAGAGAAGTGAGGGAGGGCATCTTTTTGTTCCTGGAAGATTTAATTGTGCTGCTTTCTGTGAAAGGTTTTTGCCTGCCCCATGGCCTGTATTTTCACACTGTACAGAAGTCCTTGTGAGCTGGCAAAGTAAAACAGTCAGCCTGAGACCCCAGAATCAGTGGGAGCTGGCTCATGTTGGATGCAAGGACCAGTGCCTGCTCTGACACTCTGCCTGGACTTTCACAGTGTGACTCTACTCTAGCTTTAACAAAGGCAGCACTAAAGCAGCACACAGGGGAACGGAGGGCAGGATGGAATCTCTTGTAATTAACGAAAGATTGATCTCTGAATGTGCTGGTGTCTTTGGTTTGAGTGTTGAAAAAAAGAGGGAGCCCATTGATCATACATGGCTGCATGCCTCCCATGTGCCTGTTGCCTTTGTGCAGTCACTTGTGCCCCACTGAGTTTCAGCTCCTGTCTGCACTGCAATCACAGAGCCAGGATATCTGCGTTGCACTCATGGCTGCGCTGCCAGTGTGAGCCTTGCAGCTCTTCCTTTGCTCAGTTTGTTGGTGTCCCGTGCTGACTTAACTCATCCTTGTTCTTCCTTTTTTTCCTGCCCCACTGCAGGGATGTCCCATTCTCCATTGTTTACTTCCCACTGTTTGCAAACCTGAACAAGCTGGGTCAAAAAGACCCCAATGTCAAGGCTCCGTTCTACGTGTCCTTCCTCTCTGGATGTGTGGCCGGCAGTACGGCCGCAGTGGCTGTCAATCCTTGTGATGGTGAGTCCTGGGTAGCCTGTGGTGGTGCCAAGTGACAGGAGTCAGAGGCCCAGGCTGGGCCAGGTGAGGAGGAGGGTGTCTGTGCCAGCCTTTTTGCAGCATGAGCACACAGAGAGGGACAGCTCTGCTGCCTCCGGCTCTGATGGTGTGAGTTCAGCTCAGCTACAGCTTTGGCCACAGGTTACACAGAGGTTTGCAGCACGTACTAGGTATGTCAGGAAGAGGGTGTCATTAATTTCAGTTATTCCTGGCAGGAAAGGCACATTTCCATGTGGAGTGATTATGTGATGCAGACCACTTAAAACTATATGGTCTGAGACAAACACGGGAAGCCTCAGATCTGTGGCCTTTTCTCCTGCTCCACAGCATCTGCCTTAAATACCACCTTGGTTTCTCTCCTGTAAAAACCACCAGAAAGTAACTGCTCTCTCCCCAACACTGCACATGCTTCAAGGTGTGAAGAAATGTAGGAGCAGAATTGTGTATTTTAGGTACATCTTCCTGAAGGAGATGAGCATTTGAAAATAAGTTCCCACTTTGCAGAGAGATATCTGAATTTGTAAGGTTTAAAGCTTAAGTCAGCTTTTTGAAGCCTTGATCACAGTGAGGGAGGGAGGGCTTGGGTTTTGGGTGGCTTTTTGTTCCTTTTATCCATTTGTAATGGAATGGGTTTGTTTTCCCTGACAAATATATGAAAATGGTCTGTATTTCTGGTAATTTTGTTTTGACCATTTCAAATACATGACTCTCAGGGTGGCTTTTGCCTGCTACACCCCCAGTGCTCACCTCACTCCCAGTGTCTCCCCTCTCTTTTCCTCCCCAGTGATCAAAACGCGGCTGCAGTCCTTGCAGAGAGGAGTGAATGAGGACACCTACTCGGGGATCCTGGACTGCACCAAGTAAGACTCCTCAGGACAGAGGCACCACATCAGGTGTTTGGCAGCTGCTGCTGCCTGCTGCCAGGCAGGCAGTGCAGCTTCTAGACCCAACCAGCAGCTGTGCTTCATGTTCCCTCTGAACCTGTGCTTTTATCTCTGTCTGACTATCTGGAGATATATATAGATATATGAGCAGATGTAAATACAGTTGTATAAAAGAGAACTTACCATACTGAGTAAGAAAAACAGAGCATTTATATTTAAATACTTCTGTCCAAACCCCAGTAGTCATACCACTGAGATTTTATTTCTTCAAAGGGAGGCAGTGCTGTGGTAGTCTTTCCCAAGGCCCTACTGTTGGAAAATCCTACAGTATTGAGTCTCATATCCCTCCTGGGACTGCTCTGCACAATGTCTGCACCAGCACTTGCCAGAGTGGGCTGTCCCCAGCTGCACTGTCCTCTGACCTTTTGCTAAACTATGGTCTGGCTGCTTCAAAACACAAAGGGACTTTTTCTGCTTTTTTATTTCTGTGTTAGGCAGAATCTGTTGCCATTGGGCTCTCTCCCATGCTGAGGGTGGAGCTTTTGGGCAGGGGACCTCTTGATGCAAGCATAGGGTTGGTTGTCTTAGCTATACTTGCAGACACAGGCAGCTGCTCCTGCTTCTAGCCAGATGTAGGGATGGGCCAAGTTTCTGCCCAGCCACTTGCAGAGCACTTGGGCAGTGATGGGTGATGTGCTGTGGAGGCTGTGCCAGGCAACAGCGCTTTCCTGGATATGGTCTCTGAAGGGAGACAGAAAGGCAGGGCATGGCCAGGGGCTCTCCTGGCACAGTGGAGGGGTGGGCCGGACACTTACCTGTCTGTGCCATTTCTCCCCAGGAAGATCTGGCAGAGGGAAGGGCCCACGGCCTTCTTCAAAGGGGCCTACTGCCGAGCCCTGGTCATTGCCCCTCTCTTCGGCATTGCACAAGTCGTCTACTTCGTCGGCATCGCGGAGTTCCTGCTGGACATGCTCCCCAAGCGCCGGGCCTAGCTCCGCAGTGGCTGCGTGTGCCCTCCCGCCCTCTGCAGCGCTGGATTCATCCCCGTGTTCGCCATCCGTGTCCATCGATGTCAGAGCAACAGCACAAAGGGTTCGCGCAGGGACGCGAAGGGACCTGGTGCCCAGATGGGCAAACCTGGGGAAGGAGAGAGTCCCTTCTCTGCTGCCATCTGGAACCTGCCCCCTCCCGCTCCTTCCACGGACAATACTTAATTATGCATCTCTCTCTCTTTTTAATTTCTTGGTTTTTGGTTTTAAATTGTCATTCTTAAGGACACTGGTAAGCACAGAGTGGGCTTGCCGATGCAGAAGTCTCCTCTCAGTCTTGGGGAGGAGGAGAGATGGGAAAGAATTAACTTCAACCCTCATCCACTCAGTTTCTCTTTCTTCCTGGAGCTGCCAGCTGTCTGAGGAGGAGCTGGAGGGGCAGCCGTGTCCCCTCAACACCTCCTTGGTCTGCTGACCTCGGGTCAAGAGTGAATGCTGCACAAAGGGGGCTTATCTTGTTGCTGCTGGAGGCAGGGGTGGGGGGGATGCTGGATCTGGCAAGTTCCTTGGCCTGGAAACCTTCAGTCCTCCCTTCTCCCTTTTTAAAAACTAGTTGGACTTAAATGAATTCTGATTGTTCCTATTGATTTTGTAATTATTTTTGTTTTAAAGCAAAGGGATGTCCCTCCTAACTAGGTGTCACAGGCACATCTGGGTGAGGTGCAGAGATAAGGTGTCTGCTCTGTAGGGAACATGACTGTGGGATCACATGAATGTCCAAAGGTGCTTCCCTGCTTGGCTACAGGCATGGAAGGGAGAGGAACTTGGGATCAAGTTATTTTTGTTTTGGGGTGATTTTTTGGTTTATTTTTATTGTTGTTTTATTTGGTTTTTTTTGGGGAGAGGTTATTTCTTGTTTTTACTTTTTGTGTTTGTTTTGTTTTGTTTTTGGGGGATTTTCTTTAGTTCTGTTTTGGATCTTTTTTTTTGTTTGGGTTATGGGTCTTTATTTTTTTTTTTTTTGTTCAGGGTTGTTGGGAGGGAAAACCAAACAAAAAGAAGCCACTTACATTCCTTCAACCTGCCACCCCTAGAGTGATAAAGCTGTGGCTGCAGGTGTAGATCAGCTGATCTGATTTTTTCCCAGCCTGACCCCAGATGTGTGGAAGGAGGCACTGGCTCCAGTTCTGGGACTGCCCAAACTCGTGGAGCCCCAGTAGAAATGCTGCACCTGTGGGCTCACTCTTCCAGGTGAGAACACAAGGTCTGGTTGTGTTCTGATGTTTGCCTTGGGTGTGACTGGAGCCAGCGGGCGTGGAAGGGGCAGAGGGTTCACATCCTCTGAGCAAGGAGCTGTTTGTGTGTCCATCACTTGAGGGGGTGAGTCCTCTGCATCACAAGAAGATCCCGTTTGCTCCTGGGGTGGGGATCAGTGGTGGGTGGCACAGGGCAAGTCCACACCTACAACCTGCTCTGTCAAAGGGACACTGCCCCAGCTAAGATTCACTTGTCAGAGGAATTCCTCATTCAGTACTCTCTTGGGCTGTGTAATTAATTCTAGTTAAGTGATCTTAAGTGTGAGATCTACCAACCCAGTGTGATCTTTTCCATTATTTATTCCATTTGGTGCGATCCACCCAACTTTGGTGTTGAAATTAAACTGGTTGAATTCACTTTTCATTCCTTCATTTTGCTTTATTCTCCAGGCGCCTGCTTGGTGTTTGTGTTTTGAATGTGTATTTAAATTAATTTTAAAAATACCATTGTTATTAATGTTTAAAAGAAAACACCTCTGTTTCACCATTCTTGGGTTAGGTTTTCGTGAAACCTGTATGTTGAGGGCCTTCTTCCTTGATGCATCCTTTTTCTCTTTGAAAAAGTTGTTCTGTGGCTGATTCGTTACTTGTCACTTTGCATATGTAAATAATTTTCTTTTTTCTTAATGACTTCTCCATGTATCTGGGAAGGAATCTGTGCAAAGGCAATGATAGATGTCTGTGCTGTGTGTAGTGCTGTGATGCTGCTCTTGCTTTGGATTTCCCTTGGGTGGATTAAAAGAGAAAGGTTTATTTTATTTTTTCCTTTAAGGTGCCCCATTCCTTGCTGCTTTTTGATTTACAGGGAGGGAAACTTGTGGGGTTTCAGCTTGCTCTTCTTCCTGCAAGGATTGTCCCCTGAAACTGGGTGATTTGTGGCTGCAGGGATGTGCATGGGGTGCAGGTTTGTATGGTGGGGTTAAGTTCGCAGGAAAATTTGGTGCAATGAAGGGCTGAGGTTCAGGGAAGGCTCTCCTTGTCATTTGGGATGCTTTTAAAAACTTCTTTAAAAAACTGACTCTTCCTCCTGAAACCTCCATCTCTTCTTCCACTGTGCAGGAGCTGGTCACCTAAATGAGGCTGATTTTTAACTTCCTAGACAGGTCCCTGAGCCATCAGGACCTGGGGGGATGGCAGGGGACAACAGCTGGGGCTGTGCAGGACAAGTATCCCCCTGTCCTGCCAGGCAGAGTCCTGCTTGCAAAAAGGAAAAAAAAAAAAAGTTTAAAATGGGAGAATTCCCATCAATTTAATAAATCACCTATTAACTGAAACCGCTCTGCATTGATTGCAGCTTTGAGGAATGAAAGTAAATAAACAAACCTCTGCTCCCCTCCCTGGGCACTGCTTGTCTCTGGGGCAAGAGCCAGCAGCCAGCACCACTCCTTGTTCTTCCCACCTGTTCCTCCACCCACCCCGGGCCACACCAGTCTTACCTTGTCCATGCCAGCCTTGTTCCTTGCTCCCACCCTGACCTGGCTCTCCTGGCTCCTCTTTGGGTTTCATGGTGTTCACTGCCCTTAGATACATTTTGCTGGATCTGCTGGACGCCTCTGTCCTGGGTTCAGGTGCTTGACTCAGTTTTGGCTTGTGGAATTTCCTGAATGAAATTTGGATTTGGATGAAATTTCTTAAAGCCCCATGGGGAAAGTCCTGGAAAACAAAAGGAAAAATCCTAGCAACCAAGAGGGGAATTCCTGGAACAAAAAAGGAAGCCATCCTAGAAAGCTAAATATCCTGGGTAACAAAGGGGAAATTTTCTGTAACACAATGTAGGAATTTCCATGTGAGGACTAGGGGAAAGTCATTGGAAGCAAAAGGGGAAATATTCAGGGAATTTCTAGACAGCAATGGAGGAATTTCCTACAAGGCTATAGGGGGAATTTCCTATAGGATATAGGCTATAGCCTAGAGATAAAAGGAGGGGAAAATCCATGAAAACAAGGAGGAAATTGCCTCAAATACTTGGGAAATACCTGAAAAGCAGAAGTGATATTTTTTTAAGAAAGTGACAGTGATATTTCCGAGAGTGGAAATTTCCCAGAATGCAAAGGAGGAATTGGTGATTAACAAAAGGGGAACTGCCTGCAGAGGATGAATGATATTTCTTGGGAAATAATTTCTTGCTTCCCAGTGTCAGGAAAATCCACAAATACCAAAGTTTATGTTCAAAAAGGAGACAAAGGAATCCTGCAACTTCATCAGGGAGAGGGATAGAGGGAGAGAGTCCACCAGGGCACACAGCTTCGGGGCTTTCCTTTTCAGGGTTTCAGAGGGAGCAGCCTCCTTTAATCCTAAACTCCAGGCACATGCTGCCCTCCTCCTTCCCCCACTGGCTGAGGCAGTAGGAAGGCACAGCCTTCCCGAACTGCCCACCACAGTTCCCAGCCCGTGCTGCTGGTCCTGTGCTCCCACACCCGGCCCCGCCACTCCTCACCTGAGAGAAACTCCCTTAAGTCTTGAGTAGCAAGTGGACAAACCCAAATCCTCCACTCTGGCTCCATAATGGCCGGGGGAGGGGTGAGGGTGTAGGAACAGTACCTCCCTCTTTTCCCTCTCCTGGAAGCCGGGAATACAAACGACTTGCAGCTGGCCCTGTATTAGACAGCAGATTTTGAAGATAAGGCAGAGAACTTCCAGTCCCCAGTGTTCTGATCACACAGCTTCCCCATGCTGTCTGCCCTATTTCTCCACATTCCCCTTCAATATTTCCTGCTCTGGGCATGGGTTGCTGAGACCTTTCTAGGCGCCTCTTAAGTCCCCTCTGGGCATCCATGTCCTTAGCTACTGGGAGAATGTGCAAACCATCTCAACATTCTCCCAAAGGACCCTTCGGAGGTATTTTGAGATCACCATCCTTTTAAAACTTTTCTTTGTTGCCCGCCCTGGGTGTCCTGCCAAGTTTTACTCCCCAGTATTGCACTCACCAGTGAGATTTGCCAAGACCCTTCCCAACTTTCCCTTACTGCCCCTTCTGGGCATCCATGTCTGGTGGTCCTTGCCTATGGAGCCTTCTCGGACGCCCCTGGTCCACCTCTCCTCTGTCTCCTGGACAGTCTCGGGTACCCAATCCAGTCAATCTCCTGGTGCTGGCCAGTGCCAAAGGGAGTTGGTCACTGCAACTGTGTGAGGCACCTCCAGCTCCTCCTGCTGTGTTGTGTCAGACCCGACAGTGGAAGGATCCTGGAGGAGTCACCAATTGTCAGGAAAATCCACTAACGCCAGAAGTTTATGTCCAAAAAGGAGGCAGAGGAGTCCTGCATCTATATCCGAACGGGAGGAAAGAATCCACCAGGGCACACAGCTGCAGGGTTTTCCCTCTCAGGGTTTCAGAGGGAGCAGCCTCTTTTTATCCTAAACTCCAGGCACATGCTGCCCTCCTCCTTCCCCCACTGGCTGAGGCAGTAGGAAGGCACAGCCTTCCCGAACTGCCCACCACATACCCCCCCTTGACCCTACTGTTCTACCCCAAAGCTCAGAGAGCCAGGCTGTGCATTCCCCTGTCTGTGCCAGGAGCCTCGCTGCCCAAAGTCAGCAGAGACATTGGGAGCCATTGCAAAGACATTGACACCCAGCCCTTCACCCATCCAATTGTCTGTACTGACAAGAGCTTCCCTCTCAGCAGGGACTAACAGTCATGGGGAAATTTCCTAGGAAAGCAGTGGAGATCTTCTAAGCACAGGGGAAAATTGTAGACAGGAATGGACGACTCTAGAAAACATCAAAGACATTTCCCAGGAAGCAAGGAGGAAATAGTCTGCAAAATGACCGGTAAATTTCCCGGAGAGTAGCACGGGATTTTTTAGGAAGGAAGTGGGAAATTTCCTGGGAAACAAAAGACAGTGTTCTGAAAAAGCATGTAGAGTGCCTATAGGCAGTAGGGAGTTCCTGGAAAGAAGACATTTCCTCAAAAACAAGCAGCACATTGGGAAAAAGGCTGCACTTCCGTGCTTCGGCCCCACTGACTCCTCCACCCCTTCCTGGTCTTTGCGTAAGGAGCTCGAAAACCCTCTCAGGGAGTCTGGGTTGTTTTCACTGCTCCCCGCCGAGCTCAGAGGGCTCGGGGAGAGCCGGGCTGTGCTTGTGGCTGCCCTTGACCGGCCTCCTGTCGGGGGCATGGGCTGCTTCGCCTTTGCCTCGGTGCCCTGCGCTGCCCGCCGCACTTCCGCCTTTATTGGTTTGTCTTTTCTGACAGCACGGCCTTAGCGTGCAAGCCAAGGCAGCCGGGAGAAGAAGGATTAAAACAAACCTCTGGCCCGGGGGTTTCCAGCCCCGGGAAGTCCCGGCCGGAGCTGGTGCGGGCGGCCCCCTGCGCTCCGAGGGTGCCACGCTCCGCTTTAGGTCCGGTTTGTTTATTTTAATTATTAAAATTCAATAGCCCGGGGAGGCGGTGCGCAGCCCGGGTGCCGGAGCATCCCGCGGGCGCTCCCGGTAGCGGCGACACCGCCCCGCGCGGAGCGGCGGCACTTTCACTTTCGGCAGGGACACGTGATTTCCAGGAAAACGGGAGGGGTGGATAAAGGAGC